CAGAATCAGTAATTCCTCTTCCTCGCGTCAGGCCACCTGAACTTTTCATGGAGCGCATGAGAGTTTGCTCTATTACCATATCCGACCAAACTCCTGCCCAAGGTGTGCCTGTGCGATTAATGGTGAAGAAGCCTTTTTCTGCAAATTCCTTGTACGTTTGGGGATGGCTGTTCTTCAGTTGCATCATGTCTTGCACGTAGATATGGGCACATTTCGCGTATTGGAAGTGTCCACTTGCATGGAAGAATGGGATTATCTGTTGTACACACGCCAAGTGGCCGTCCCAATCACCACAACGCTCAAAATTAATGTACTTCTTCATGAGTGTAACCATATTGAAATACTGCAACCACAAAGCAGCGGTAGGCCCATTCTCTTTAAGGGTCTCGAGATGGTACTGAAATTTTTTCAAAGTTGACATCAAGGAAGCATTCTCTTTAACTTTATCTGGAGTAAATTCTTCCATGTTGATCAACATAGTCGAGATGTCCTTCTTCTCTTCTTCTGATACATTGGCTCCATCCAGAATAATATGAGCTAAAACAAGCTGAACAAGCAAATGTCCTCGAACGGCTCGGCTGTAGGCATGTCCTGTTAACATCTTGTCAACTGAATTAGGAGCAAAAATTTGGCATAATACATCTTTCAGTCCTGATCCAGCCATTGTGTGGCCAATGCAACCCAAAAAGGACATCAGTAAGTGAAACCCACCAAGTCTCACCATAATGCTCCCAAAGCTGATTTCCCTGGCCTTTAAATACAAAGGCTGGTCGAAAGTTACGAAACAAACGGTGACTCCTACCTCCTGACTCTTTTTTAAAGCATACTGTAAGGCTGTGCGTATAGTGCTGTACTCATTTGGTGGAGAATTGATAAATGGAAGAAAAGTTACCGAAGTTGTTTCTTTGTTAATTAATTTACTTGTCAATTGCATAAAACCTTTCCATTCTGGAATGTTAGGCACCTCCAAAGTAGGTTCCACCTCCTGGAGCCACTTACCACTCATCCACAAGAGATCTTGAATAGTGGGTGTGAATATGTCAGAAGGGATGGGCTTCAGAAAGCTCAAGTCTTCTATGATCATTTGCTGTAATGCGTTGGTTCCCCTACCCTCTAATGTATGCACCTCCAGAACTCCCAGCTGGCCCACTTCTTCCTGGGGAGGAGCAGAATTCAACCTTTTGACATTTGTGGATGCATGAAGAGTGTTGGCCGGTGTAATACATTTGATACCTCCCATGCTGTGGAAGGTATTCCGGCCATCGAGAGTGGATACATTGAAGTCAGCATTGTCAAAGACGAACTGAATAAAAGTTCCAATTGGAATAGGCTCTTCCGTATGGTGGATGGTGGAGAGCTCTAGCCGCTGAGCCTCGTAATAAGAGGCACTCAATCCCAACTTCGACAGAAGGTCCACCAAATTCTTGGATCCATATTTTCGGTATATAAGCAGAGCGATGCTGGACAAAATAGGGGATATGAAACATCTAGGGCGAATAGCAGCAATAAGTGTATGAGCTATAGTTGTCATATTTTTTTTCACAGTCTCTTGTGACCTTTTTTTCTTTGCAAGGCAGTCTGTGAAAACTGCGAGAGTTTGAGGTATCAATTCTTCAGCCTCCCTGCAGAAGCTAGTTAAAGGAAAATAGGCACTGTTGTCGTAAGCCATAGATTCAATATCTTTCAAGATAATCTCAGCGGCTTTTCGTACAATTCTTTCATTTTCTGCCTGTTCATTAGTACACCTTGACGTGTACCACGCGTCGTTTAAATTTTTTTCACCAGTTGCATGAAAGCAGACGACTGTTTGTTTGGTGCGAGTTGTACTGAAAACAATTTGGTCCTCATATTTTTCCTTCATTCTGGCTTTGATGGTTTTCACAGTTGGTGGTTCTCCCGTAATCTGTCCCAACAAATCGTCCATAGAAAATTGACAGTTATCATTTTTTTCAATGTAATCGTAGATTTCGTTCATTGCTTCTGAAATCCCTTCATCAATGGGGCGCCCAGCTTTTCTTTTTGAAGGGTGAATGTTTTGTAACAATCCACGTGATATATAGCATCTACTGCATGTAGATCCCCAACAGTGCAGATACGTCTTACTACGTCGTTACCCCACTCATCGTTTCTTTCCTGCCCACGAAGAAGCACGGAATTGTGAAACGTAGTCGTACGAACTTTGATAATGGTTCGACGCTTAGAATAAGGTTTTTTTCTCTCCGCCTCCTCGTCATGCTCTTCTGTGCAAAAAAAACACTTTGTTTTAAAATCAAACTGACTTTGTCCTGAACGCAAAGAAGAGACACCACGTGATGTTGATGGTTGCTCTGAAAGAGCTTGTTCTCTCAAAAACCTTTTTATTGAGTCACTTCTAACGTATTGTCTTCTGCAAGTATTGTGAACAACACCACTCATCTTATTCCTTAAACATGTTTCTTTCCCATCTTTTCTTAACGCGCTTGCCTTTATTATCCCACTTATCCCTTTACTTCCGACTTTACACAAGTCCATTTCGACTACATTATCACAAATTAAACACTTCTCCGACATTTTGTAGTGCCACGTAGAAAAAAAATCACAACTCGCGACGCGATTTAACCTCTGACCGATTTTGGCGCGAAACTCGGCGTACACACAACCACTTCACTGGCGGCGCGCACAGTCTGTGGCGCGCACTTTACTACGACGTTAAATCGCGAGAATTGATCATAATTAACTTTTCTTCTTTAATATCTCGTTAAATATTGATCCCAGCGAAAAAGTGTATAGAATCTTTTTTGTATAAAATTTTATTTAGATTACTTGAGTAGAAGAAATTTTTTTGCTATGAGCCACCGTTTACGAGTTATTTAAGAAAAACTTAAAAAAGGGACCTTTACACCCCCCCCCCCCCCCTACCCGTTAGCTTCACCCCCATTCATCAGTACTTTGAGTATGTTGTTTAAGACACCATTCCCTACAACTATGCCAAAAATCGCTTTTACACGAATTATTTCCCCTATTTGGCAGTTTTTGGTCTTCGTTGAGTGGGCTATAGTGATTATATACTCTTTGGGCTAGACATACGTAGATATAGGATTGGAGTTTTGGCGGGAACTTGACCGGCGGTGGATTGTTGCTCCTGTATCATTGTTTAAATAATGGTTTGAAGTGGACTTTGATATGTAAAAGTGGTGCGATTTTGTGTATTAAGTGTCTGCGCATGTGAACTATTAGTGGAAACGGTGAAACAAGTGCTCTGATGGTGATGTGATTCTCAAATAAGGTGTCTGTTTGCTTAGGCGCCTTGAGATACCATCGCCAACTGTCAGCTGCCTGCTGGCTCAAGTTGCCGTCAAAATCTCCCAAGAGCTGCACAATGTGATGCATCAACATATTGAGAAGCAGTGTACTATAAAGGATAATAATTATACATTGTTACTTCAGGCTCAGACGGGCTAGAACCCAGAGCCGTAAAGCCAGTTATAAAAAAAAGATTTATTTATTTTTATTTATTTATTTATTATATGGCATAGTTATATGGACAACAAAACAAATAACAATCAAAATACATTAAAATATAATATAAATATTACAGTTTTGTGCCAGATTAATATATATTTAATATATATATAGATAATATTTTAAAAATAAATAAAGATTAATATATAACATTTTTATGCTTTTTAACCATAATTTTAATCTAGGTTCTAGTTCTAGATAGGTTGGTTGTTAACAGATATGGGTAGAAAAGAACATCGATAAGTATTATAGACAAGGAATTCAACAACCCTATTCAATTTTATTATTTATCAAAACCACAAAATAAAACTCAGTAATATAAAGACATACATGTTGGTAAATACGATATTAAGATTATTAACAACTTTTTAAGTACCTACCCATATTATCAAATACTTTTAATTTGCTTTAATTTGCTTCCTTTCGTAACGAGTTTTACATATTACGCACACTCTCATTATTACTAAACATTATTCTTATTATGTAACTAAAATCAAACAATCCAACCACATAAAATAATTGCATTTTTTAGTTTTAAAATTCATAATACAGAGATATAATTTAAATAATACAACAGACTGGCATATTATGTCAATTGTAGTTCTCAGTACGAACAATAAATACGCTTCAAATCGGTATAAGCATTTTGTATGGCATAGCCTAAGATGTTTTTAAAACTATAGATACGTTATACTCGCTCTAAAATGGCAATACGAAAGTCAGGTAATTGCCCGACTCGCATTCAGTCGGGCACGGTCTTGGGTCGGGACTATACCTTCGCTACAGCGCGTAAATCTTCTAGTTATTTGTGGTAAAAATGTCTTCCTATGTTTATAGGTGGTGCACAAATTACACGGCAACTATTAGAGACAAGAAAAACGTGTCATTAATATTTTGAATATAGATGGTTTGTTCATAATTGGTTTTATTATTTCAACACTAACTGCTAGTGTAAACTTTGACGCTAGCTAGTGTGTTCATTTTCCATATCGGTATGTCACTTGCTCACGCCAATGAGCCCTCGGCAGCAATCAATACGTAACTAATGATGTATATTCATCTTTTTCTAACGATAGGTAAGCCGTATCACTTGTCTCTTTTTGTTAGCCTAACGTGTCATAATAAATAACTGTACGTAGATATAGTACTACCTGCGCCACTTTAAAATACAATAATGTTAGTGTGTAACCTGTCTATCTTTTTAATACGTCTTTGGGCATAGCCAGTCCAGCGTACTTGTATATAAAGAGGTCAGTGACAGCAGCGCAGACTCGAGTTAAGGAGATCCAACTCGAGTTAAGTGCAACTCGAGTTGACCCATCACTAGTCTGTGGTGAGTGTGGTAGTCAAATCAAATGTTTGGCCTAAAGGTCTAGATACCAGGCCATAAACTCCAAAAAAATCAAATCAAATGTCATTATTTTCAAACAAACAAGTCAATGAAGAAAAAATAAAGTGCTGAAAATATAAACTAAATATTTAATTATAATAACGTAAAAATGAATGTCACCTTAACTAGTTTGGAGGCTTTGATTTGTAAGTAAATTCTAAGGACTACTTAGGTTTATTAGCTAAACGTAGTGATTATATTATCTCGGTTATTAGCTACCAAATCAAAAAAATAAAAAACTTATTTTTATAGTGAAAGCTACATACGAAAATCTGCCACATCCCGATGCTGCAGCGATAGAAGCTTTCTGTACTATAATGAAGGATTCTGCAGACGGTCCACAATATGCGGCCCAAGCATTGGCGGCTCGTATTCATTCTCAAAACGCACGTGAAGCCCTGCTTGCACTGGCAATGCTTGATCGTTGCATGAGACGGTGCGACAGCAGTTTCCATTCCGAAATAGGAAAATTCAGATTTTTGAATGAAATGATAAAACTTGTTTCACCTAAATATTTAGCTGACAGAACAGCACCTGAAGTACAAACCAGGGTAAGTTCGGTACGACTTTCCATTGACGTCAGTGGAGTTTGGTGTTGATACGTATTTTTACAGAAAGATTACACTATTATAAGCACACACACAAAGTCTCATTATACGGAAACGCGTAATTTTTGAGAAAAGAATAATTGAAAATCAATTATTCTTGCAATGTTTATGTCTAATCTGCTAATAAACTGGCGCCATTTTGTAATGTCATTGTCGACGTCAATAGGGATGTCGATTCTTTCCGAAAAAGTTCGATTTTTAAATCGATTCAAATCGTAAGTGGATGTATCGATTCCCAAAAAATCGATTTCTAAAATATCGATATTTTTTTCATGTTTGCATTTATAATGTAAATATAAATCCATTTTATTAGAAAAAAATCCCCTTCATCATAAAAAAATAAGCGGACTGATTCATAAGGATTTCTGTATCTATTTTGAGACTGCTACGTCTCCGGCGCTGCGGGAAGAGCAACCTCTACGCCTTAGCGTAACAAATCGCAACCATCCCTCCTCGCCTCCGCAGCTTCGGCTTGTTGGTCGCCTTCGGCGACCAGCCTCAGCCGCTCCGGCTCGTCCGATGCCTACGATTTGTTACAGCAGGCGGAGGCTGCTCCCCCTACGCGCCTCCGGCTCTATAAAACCACTCTAGGGGTAGGACAGACTCGTACCAGGTGGAGTCGGGGTCAATCAATTCGGTTCTTTGACATAAGTTGAACCTAACCTATTTTATTTGTTACCTGCCCTAATAGGTACTGTTAAATAAAACAAATTTCAATAAGAGATCATTTATCATGGTATCTTTCTTGTTTTTCATAAAATGGGTTTATATTTACATTATAAATAGAAACATTAAAAAAATATAGATATTTTAGAAATCGATTTTTTGTGAACCGATACATAAGCTTACGATTTGAATCGATTTAAAAATCGACCTTTTTCGGAAAGAATCGACATCCCTATTGACGTCGACAATGACATTACAAAATGGCGCCAGTTTATTAGCAGATTAGACATAAACATTGCAAGAATAATTGATTTTCAATTATTCTTTTCTCAAAAATTACGCGTTTCCGTATAATGAGACTTTGTGTGTGTGCTTATAATAGTGTAATCTTTCTGTAAAAATACGTATCAACACCAAACTCCACTGACGTCAATGGAAAGCTAAGCCGTAAGTTCTATTAGGTTCATCATTACATTAGGTTCTACATTTAACAAGTTTGCGGACTTAATCCTTTTATTTTTGCTTAAATTTTAGGTTTTACAGTTATTACATGCTTGGTCTATAGAATATCCAAAAGAAACTAAGTTTAAAGTGGCTTATGATATGTTAAAAAATCAAGGTGTGGTTAAAGAAACACCACCGCCTTTGCCTCCAGAAGGAACACCTCTGCCATTACGTCAGAGAGCTAAAAATGCTATATTTGAAGATGAGGAGAAATCAAAACTATTACAGAAATTGCTTCAAAGCAAGAAACCAGAAGACTTACAACATGCAAATAGATTGATTAAAACAATGGTGCGAGAGGTTAGTAATTATTATTAGGAATGCTTTATGAAACAATTTGTGTTGTTAAGCAAAACAAGCTACATTTCACACCTTACATGCTGCTCACAGTTGCTGGTCAGATTATTTTCACCTGGCATTGACAAGACAATGTAAAAATTGGCAATCAACGAACCTCTCATAAACCTGTAATTTCATCTATAAAGTTCGTGTGATATGGGGTTTATTTATGTTTTTAGGAAGAGCGCCGTAATGAAGCAAATAGTCGACGGGCACAAGAAGTCAGTGCTGCATTGGATAGTGCAGGCTTATTGCGTGATATGTTAGAACATGCATCAGATGCTTCACCTGATGAAGAGCAGTTAATACATGAGCTCCATGCCAGCTGTTCCCGTTTGCGACCAGTGCTGCAGAGGCTTGCTGCTGCTGACTCACAAGCAGACAATTTAAGTATGTAAAAAGCACTAATTTACAAGCAAACTAATCTAGACAACTGTCATATACTAAGTTACTTACATTTTTACCATAAAATATTGATACTTGAGGCTGAGCAGTATAACAAACATATTATATAAACTGATATTGTCCAAACTTACAGTCAGTAATTTCTTGCTGACTACTGTTAAGATATGGTTGTTATTTGGATTTACAATTGCCAAACAGTCTGTGTTGGATTAAAAAATTTGTTGGACTATAGAGTACTGCCCCAGCCCCCTGGTAGTCCAGAACTTTTGAAAAAGAGTACCTTGTAATCCGACAAATTATATCAAATATAAGATAATAAAAAATAAAAAAGATCATGTGATGCACAATGAATACCTCAACAGTAAATAATGTATGCTCGCTAGGCCACTACCATAGTCACATTCAAAATAAGACAATATGCATCAAGCAAAATTCTTGGTGGTGCAAATTAGTTACAACCTGTTTGTGCACATATTTAGGAAGAACACCTCCCCCTGTGCTCAACTGTACCTACATGTTATGGACATGCCGGATTAGACAGGGGAAGGATTACCGGGGTTCCACTGTATACTTATTGTTATAAGGAATTACACATGACCAATGTTAACCTGCCTGTTGGTAAGCAACTACTGTTGCTAATATTGATAAGGAATTACTGACTGGACTGATGGTAAGTAAATGTTGAGTGGACTGATGGTAAGTAAATGTTGAGGCCCATAGATATTAAGAATTATTAAGAATTAAGAATATATTAAGAAAATATATAAATAATTAAGAATATATTAATATAATATATTAAGAATTATTAAATTATTAAGAATCAAAATGTAGATTTGTTGGCACCCCTGAGGACTAAAGTAGAATATCTTGTTTCTAGTAAAAGGCTCTCCTGTGATTATGAAAAAGCTCTACATCTAGCTGTAGATGGATTGTGTGAGTTTTTTTTTTTAAATATTGAAGTCACAATCAAACATTAAGTCACCTGATGTTAAGTGGCTAATGCAACCCATGGATACCTGTGACCCACTCATGAAGCAAATACAAAAAGGAGACGTTGTAATTAAATTTCACTATATAACAACGCGTGACAATTTGCGGGGTGAGGGGATGCAAAGCCCCGCCCACTACACTATCTACATCTACCGATAAATAGTAAAACTACTCGAATCTTTCCATATTGATGTTGCAATGTAGCTTAGCTACCTTGACGGTAGATGGCAGCATGTCCACGAAATGTTATAAACTATAAAAATAATATATTGGCGATTAAAATTTCTTTATGTCTGAATGCAAAACAAATTTCAGCACCTTCGTATGATTATTTTACCAATACTGAGCTCTACGGACCTTTATATTTTTAGTTCACATGACACAAAGTGTCGCCATCTAGTGTCGAATATATTTAATTATATTTGAAAGCCGACGCAAAGAGATTTTTCTAGAACTATTTTAAAAAATTAGGTGTAAAATTATTTATAAATGAAATGTGATGCATCCATAACATCAGAGCGTCTATCTGAGTAGTTTTTACACAATAAAACACAACACTTCATCCTTTTCTTCTTAATACTACGAAAATACACCGATTTGCGATTTTTTCAACACATAAGTGCACAGGATGAATGCTGACAGTATACTAACTAAAGCCACGCCTACTATGATGACGTCAGGACCTACTTAGAATCACAGTGCACAGTTGCTTATGCCGTCTCCCCTTTGTATTAGCTTCATGGACCCACTGATTGAATGTAGTCCTGAGGTTGACAGGTGAAGTGACACTGAGGCTGCAGCATCAAACTGACTTATATGGGACAAACTGTATCATCATTATTTTCCCACCCAAAGATTGAACAGTAAAGTTACTTAACTATTTTAAATATTATAAATATGAATATACATATTTTTATTATATGTGAAATGTGTTTTTCAGGTGATATCCTTCATGCGAATGATGTTCTGGATGAAGTTTTGGAAAGGTATAATGTATTTGTTTCTGAAAAATCATCTAAGCCTAAGGCGGGAGAAGCACAAACGTTAAATAGTGATTCCTTGTTAGATTTTGCTGGAGCATCATTGAATAAAAATACTGGAAAGACGCATAGTGCTACAGATACAAAATCTAATGTAATAGATGAACTGGGAGACATTTTTTCAAATGAAAGTGGTTCCAATAATATTGCAGAGCCCTTGAAACCTGTTAGTCTAATACAAAATGGTAAAATTTTTTTTCATTATTGTTACACTATTAGATTCATGTGCAGTTAAAACATTGAACTCTTTATATAATTTGGAATTCCATTAGATTTTCACTATGATCAGTCCTCAAATAAAAAAAAGTGAGGAATTTTATTGCATTTTAATTTACATACATACATAAACCATCACACCTGTCACCTAGATCAGGCACCAGGCATGATCTTGACACACATCTCTCGCCTCCTTTACGTTCATATATCTATGAATACATGCTTGATGGGCCAGATAAAGAGTACCCTTAACCAACGGGTACACTTAATCTGGCCAATCTTCAATATATCTCCAATTCAGTTGATAAACTTGCATTTAGGGCATCCCTTCACTTCTGCAACATAAATTTGCTTTATAATTTCTTAAACTTACGCGAACACTACGCATTGAATTAAACTAATTTTACGGATTTTATCGCGTTTAATTTACTTATTTTAATTCCTGACGTTTCGGGTGATTTACAGCAATCCATGGTCACGAGGGGGACTGAGATATTTGACTTCCCGATGTCACAGTTAGCCCGGCTACCTTCAGTTTTTTAATATTAATTTTTGGTTCGATCTACTTGGAATGAGGCTAGAGTATCTTGAAGTCTTGGTGTGGTATGCTTGGGTTTGTATTTAATTTTGTTAATTATAAGATCCCAAGCAGATGGCAGCACTCATCCATTGTCTCTATTAAAATTAGGATGTTTTTTAATTTCAATAGCCTCGCGTATCTTCCTTGGTAGGAATCGGTGTTCCTTTGCGAGGATTTGTGGTCCATCAAATCTCATGTAATGGCAGAAATGATCTTGAACATGTTCACAGACTGTAGACTTCCTAGAGTGAATGTGCCTCATGTCAGCTATATGATCTTTCACATAGGTTTTAATGGATCTTTTTGTTTGTCCTATGTAAGAGAGACCACATTTCCAATCAAGCTTGTACACTCCTGCATTTTGTAGATGGATATACTTGACGGATGGTAAAAATTGACTAATCTTCTTCGGCGGCTTGAAGTATGTTTTAATAGAAATTCGCTTCAAGATGTAGCCAACCTTGTCTGTGACTCCTCTGACATAGGGTAGTACACACTCGACTGTGGCCGGCTTCACTCGGTCATTGTGACTTAGACGCGGGAACCGAAGCTTGTTGTCTTGCAATACTCAATGTGCTGAAACTCGGCAGCCAGATGTTTTCTCTGTGACAGTGGTTTTTTGTATGTCGCAATTACTGACGATCTTACAACCGATTTTGATGATTTCTTTTTATTGAATACTTTTTATAGTATACTCTAGGGGTGGTCCCCTATGGAAAATTTTTAATGGAACTATTTAGACAACATTAAGATTTTAATATTCCGTAGTCCACTCAAAAGGGTAAAAAAAAATTTGCAAGAGTTTCTGGAGTTAGTAGGGTAGGTTTTAGAGTTGGCGATTACACTACTAGATATATATAGGCGATTATACTACACCTTTGGGGTTGATTACCATTGCTGGTCTTCATATTTTACATCTGTTGTTAACAAATGGTTATACCGACATGTAACAGCACTCATTAGACTTTCTATGATTTCGCATAGTTACTTCTTACGATACCTACGGGACGACATGGATTGAAAAGGCCACTACCACACGGCAAAAGCATTTCAATACATCCTATTACATTTGTTAGTTTATGCTAGTCAAGTGAGGCGATAACAGCACATTCTTTTTAATAAGCAAAAGACGTTTTTAACATGGTAGAGTCATGCTGCAGCTATATTACGGTTACAGCACGAGTGGGTAGGTTCAATTGTAGAAGGACCACGCTCTCACAGAATGTCAGTATAAAAAAGCAGCTCAATGCAGCTGTGTTCTGTATTTTCCTGTCCTCAGTAGGGACAAACACATCTACTTTTTGAATCTTAATCGTGGGTAGTTGCAGGTATCTATGGGCCTGATATTCACCTACTATCAGGTGGACTGCGTGCTCATTTGTCTCCGTTTGTCAGCTATAAATTGTTTACTGGCTTATGATGAGAATTTCCTCTATACCCTAATTGTTAGAACATCAAACGTAATATGGTTATGCCAATACAGTAGCCACACATTTGCATTCACAGATGATGTTGATCTCTTAAGTGATAAGTCTGGTAAAACTGAAGGCTGGAATGAATTAGACAATCTGGGAGAACAATTATTAAAACAATCTTTACCAGAAAATGCCAGAAGAATTGATAATTTTAATAGGTAAGTTTTTTATTTTTTTAGTTTTTTTATACATGTGCTAATAGATGATATTAAATTCTTGAACTTATTGTTTTACGTATTAGAGCAACGCTGTAGAGCCAGCTGAGCCATAGCTGCAGCATGAATGGGCCGACTCATCCGGGGTAGAACCATGTTGTCATAGAAGACCAGTCTGAAATGGCATAATAATGCTACTGTGTTTCGCATAGTGAGTGTAGATAGCCAGAAACCCTTTTTCTAGTAATTAAGTATTCCATTTTAGTCCTCATGTGTATGCATCTGAATTTTGATTCTTAATCAATGTTGAATGTAGATACCTACAGGCCACAGCATTCACTTACCATCAGGTGGGCTGTGTGCTTGTTTGTCTCCTTTATTCTATAAAAAAAAAACTTATCTAGAACAGATATATTGAAATAAATATAATTAACTCTTGCTGCTGTCACCCAGAGGGACTTCCATTTGGCACAATCCTGACAAACTATGCGTACATGCTCGTCAGTTATGAGTACTCTTAATTTTGCCCATCTTCAATATGTCAGGAGGGATATTACATTTGAAGTATAGTAAAAGTTGATCAATCTTCTTTCGTAGCTTGTAGTATGCTCCTATTGAAGCCCACTTCAAGATGTGTAAAAAAATCATTTGTATTATAAAACGTTTCAGAAACCTCCTACACACTTCTATAAATTGTTATACTTTTGACTATGTGTTTTATTTTAAAAAAATGTTTAAAAGTTACAGTGTAAAACAGATTTATCAAAACTGATTCTTTTTCTCAAGCTAAAATTGTGTAAATAAGTTTTATATAAATATTGTGAAAACAATAAAAGACTACATTTTACAAATAGGTTTATTACATATCTTAAATCAAAATTCAAAATGTTAAAATATGGAATATTTAAACTTCTTGCCATCAGAAAGTTTTCTTTGTTAACACTTTTTTTTATGTGTGTTACCTCTGAACTTTTTTCTAGGTGAACCGATTTTGATGATTCTTTTTTTATTTGAAAGCTGGTGCTTCACATGTAGTCCCATATAAATTTGATCAAGATCTGACCAATAGTTTTTGAGTTATCATATCAAATTGACAACATTGATGTTGTCATTTTATTTATATTGAAGTTGGATGTACAAAAGTTTTAAATTTACCGCTTGTATTGCATGAAGTTGTCATCCAAGAGTGGTGTGTTCTGTGCTAAATTGAATTATCCAGCTTATCTTTTTTTATTTCAGTAAACAATTAAAGAAGATTCCTATGAATGCTTTGGACAAATCGTCTCCTAAACATGAAACACAATCGAACAATGATGCACTATTTGATTTAGATTTTCTTATCAAAAAATCTGATGAAAAATCTAATTCACCTGAAGTTATTGATACTTGCAAACAAATTCATACTAATGACGATGTCATGGTGGACATCGGCACAAATGGCACAACTTTAACTAATACTATTGTAGATATGAACTTAAGTGTACCGGACAGTCCTCTAGACAACATTTTAGATTTAGGCTTACCTTTAGGAAATAATGTGACACATGTTGATATAGAAACACCAGTAACTAATAAAGCAGAAACAATTACTGAACGTAAAGATTCAATCAAAAATAACAAAGTTGGTGATGTTAAACCACTGACTGATATAAATGTGAGCTTACAAAGTATTCAGCCAAGTAAAGTGCCACCGTTAACTGTGTATGAAGAAGAAGGAGGCGTGACTGTTGTTCTACATTTCTGTAAAGACAAGCCGAGGCCAGACGTGAATGTCATTGTAATTTCTACAACAAGTAAGAATAGCTCACCTATTGAAGATTATAAGTTCCAAGCAGTTTTACCAAAGGTATCTTGCACATTAAATCTTTTAAAATATGGCATTAACATAATAAAGTACTCTTTAAAGTATAATTTATTTTATGAACACTAAAAGAAGATTGTTGTAGATTGTAAATTATTTTAGATGCATATGATGTATGTATGAGTGAGTGCATGTTAAGAAGTTGATCATGGTTTCGGCGTCGCTTGAATCATATGTAGTGTTCTATCTTTTTTGTTGTTCTGACATTTTCAACACACATATATAGAAAATAATTAATTAATAATTTTTTGCCACAAATTTATATATAAATGAAAGAAGAATTCATTAATAATTCCATTGTTTTAGTAATTACATAATAAAAAATAGTTAAATTTTTTAATGAAAAAAGAACACTTGTGATTGGTTGTGACGTCCGTGGTTGTATCCGTTGAGGCTGTTAGCCAATCGCAATCATGCTATACTTTTATATTTTTTATATTCGGATCAGCATGTGTCTTAACAAAACATTTATAACCTGTATTATGCAATGACAATTTTTTTTTAATTTTGACTACGTAAACATGAGTGTTTTATCATTTCACCATGCGGTGGCGTTACTAAAGCGATATAACGACATCACTTGCGTTTGAATTTACATTTTAGAAAATCCATTTTTAATTGTAAAATTACATGAAAAATCAATTGTTAAATTATTTTTTTAAATTTTACTTAATAATTTTTAGTAAACATTCAAAAAAAAAATAAAAAAAACATGCAACTTTTCTATTGTTGGTTTGCGGGTTTAATTATAATACAATAAAACTATCTCTGATCTTACCTACATGTCTTTTATGCCAGAATGGGTGAGTGCCTCTGAGTTTACGTGACCATTTCTTCTTCTCTTTGTCCTTTGTGAATCTGAAACACTTCTGGACATGGACCTCTCCCATTGTATTGAGAGTATGCCTTCATTGTTACACTTGGCAGACGACTTGACGATCGCAATATCAGGCGTATTGCATCTTTGCGAGGACCATTTATTTTAATATAAGTTACTATAATATCTTTCCGTAGTTGACTGCTTTCCATTATTCAGAAATGAGGGCTAATAATTTTACGACCACCAGATGTCGCTAATTGGGACTAAGTTAAACTTATTTGTTATGTAGATGGTCACACTGGCTTCGTCGTTGAAAAATTGTGTCAACAAAACAATGTCTCAGTGTAGTATTATATTATTTTTTTTTTACATTTTCAATTTTTTTTAATTCTTTTACTTTTAGGAGTATACAATTTGGTTTGTCCATTTCTGGAGCAGTAAATGAAACATGAATTACATAATATTTTTAGCTAAAAACAAAAAAAAAATACTAGCTATCCATCATTAACTATTAATGACCAACTCATAAAAAGAATAGACAAAGAGAAATATCTTGGTTTGTTGTTGGATAGTCAACTGACTTGGAAGCCACATTTAAATAAGATTAAAAATAAACTTACTGCACTAACTGGGAGCTTTGTTTGTCTTACCACGTCAAGTGCGATATACAGTATAGTATAAGACTGGTAAAGCCACACATAGATTATCTGATTGAAGTATGCAGCTCAGCAACGAAAACTAACTTAGCACCCCTTCAAATTGTGCAAAACAAATTAGTAAATGCATTATTTAATTATGATTTCTTATCAAACTCACACCAAACTACAATGATAATTGGTATTTAGCAGGGTTACCAACTGTTCTTGTTAACCCTGCTAAATACCAATTAATGGTTATCGGCAGCTCATATATGCTTAATTTATTAGATCGTTCGAAGATCCCTGCAGTAACGTATGATAATATGTACTCAAATTCTATATACAGAGACTGCTAAGAACTTAGGTGTTATTTTTGATAATAATTTGTCTTGGGTTGCTCACATTAATATGATTAACAGAAAAGTGAACTACTCTTTTCAATCTCTCAAGCGCCTCCAGATGTTTTTACCGTTAAAAAGTAAGATAACTTTGAGCTACAAACACTTCTTCTTCCTCTCATTGATTACGCTGATGTTAGTTTTTTGGATGCTTCAGAGGAGCTGTTGAACAAACTGGAACGTGTTCAAAATTTGTGTGTACGTTTTATTTTCGGTCTTCGTAAGTTTGATCATGTTTCCGAGTACAGGGCTCAATTAAAATGGCTTTCTATCCGTAGACGTGGAGACTTACATGTGTTATCATTTCTCTACTTTCTACTCTTTAATCCTCTTGCACCTCCATATCTCCGCGAGCGTTTTGAGTATCTTGTACCTCGTGAAACTCAGTGCCGGACCACTAAACAGCTGCTTCTCAAAACTCCTTCTCATTTCACAAGCCGATGTGGTGGATCCTTTACTGTAAAGTCTAGCTATGGAACTCAATTCCACATGACATACATGCTAGCTCTTCTCTTGATTTATTTCGGAGCAGAGTAAAGAAATATTATCTATCAACTTAGAATTATAAATATATACATATTTTATGAAATATATATTGTGTGTGTGTGTGTGTGTGTGTGTGTGTGTGTGTGTGTGTGTGTGTGTGTGTGTGTGTGTGTGTGTGTGTGTGTTTATTGTCTTTATTAATATATATGTATGTAAATCATCAAGAAAATAAATTATACTTATATTTTATACACTGATATATTAATTATTAAGTACTGCTGCTACCTACTTGCTTTATATATAAAATTATTTCTCTTTTCCAATAGGTTTGCTGGAAGAGAACTCTTATTATTCTCTCGCCATTGTACATGTTATTTAAATATTTAACAATTGTTACCAACTTATAGTGTGTACAATAAAGAATAAAAAAATGAACATTACAAAATATTTAAATATATATTTACACTAAAATAAATACTCATTTTAAAACACAATTAAAGTATCTTACATATCTATAATAATTAAAAGCTTATCACATTATGCCTAATTAAAACACTTTTTGCGAGCAGTAACAAATTCCTTACCACATCTAATTAATCTTATTTAGCGTGACATAATGGGTTATTGTACTAGGAGTTTGACTGCGCTTTGTTTCTTGCTTGTATTTAATAGTAAGCGCCTATGAAATATTCTTAAATTACCCTCTGTCTTTTTTATATTTTGTGCAGGATTTTATATTCATATTTAATGTAAGTCCACAGATATGTTATGCCTACTCAAAGTAAATGTTACTTTCTTTTCTTTTATGTTTCTCAGTAAGTGGGTGTATAGGTACTCTATTAGGAAATAAATTTCTTAAGGTGGCACAAGTCGCGGGCTCGAACTCGCTAGTGGGCGCGGCCAAAAAGCACGCTGTCTCACCTGGCATCGTGCCCGACAGAGATAGTATCAGTGATGAGCATATCGACACTAGTATTCACGAATGTCTTGTTCGTACGGCGTTCCGAACCGTTAGAATAAAAACGAAGTTACACGAATACGATGCAACATCTATCTATACTAATGTAATAAAGCAGAAGAGTATTTTTGTTTGTTTAAACGTGCTAATCTCTGGAACTACCAGTCCGATTTGAAAAATCTTTTTTTGGATATTATAGCCAGATTCATGTCGAATAGTATAGGCTATATAGCATTAGGCTATATATCTCAGCTAGCCTATATTTGTTAAGGAAGTCAGAAGAAAAAGCGCTGCTATGGTTCGGGATACGTAAATACAATGTTCTAGAAAAATATAGATCTTTACTCCGTCTATAAAAAAGTCCGCGATACCATATTATGTCTATTTCTTATATATAAGCCACAATTAGGCATTTTATGACAAAAAAAAATGAAAATTTAATTATTAGGCACCTTACGAACGAAAGTTACTTCATTATCAAGACAATTTTATGAAGATAAACTTCGTTCTTTATACCATGTTTATATAGTACATAGTTTAAGAGATAATGTAAAATTAAAATAATTGAATACTTGGCCTGACGCGCAAACAACGCATAACCCCTAGCCCGGTGCGAACTGAGAAGCCAGTATTGAAAGCTTCTATGAGCGAGGTTAGGTTAGCCGTTAGTTCAATCGTTATCTATATCTACACAAATAAATAAAATTGAAGTGTCTGTTTGTAATGTCAAAATAACAGCTTTTTACTAATTGCGTATGAAATTGTATACGGTACCACAATTTTTAACATTTTTGTATGTCTGTCAGTCTGTTTGTTCCGGTTAATTTCCAAAACGGCTGGACCGATTTTGACGGGACTTTCACTAGTAGTCTATAGTAGTATGTTATAAGAAGTAACTTAGACTACTTAAATTTTAGAAAAATTATTAGGTGTGTTTGCAACAAAATTAACGCCCTAAACTAAACGCGGACGAAGTCGCGGAGAACAGCTAGTAGCTAAAATAAATTCAAAATTAATTGAGTACTTTTATCTATCTCCCGGGTGAGCGTAACAATGATTAATTACATTTTTATTTCTGAACTCTTTCATTTCACGTCGCTATGGTATTTTGAAAGTTTAAATTTAATTGATTAATAAGTATAAGAGGTTGATAGCAAATTTATCAAGAATCATTTCTTGCCTACACACTTTTCATGTATCGTGTACGTTTTTCTTTAAAACTGGAAAAAACCGCGCATAATATGCCGACAGATAAAATAAAAGTACTCCATTAATCATGACAATCTTTCCATACATTACTGTCAAATAAAATATTTGATTGCAATTATAAAATGCTTGAACTAGGTGTCATGTCATGCCACGCATCTCGGACACGTGATGACGCGGGTGAAACCGCGAAATTATTAGGTGCTGCTTTATCGCTTGATATTATACCTTTGTGGCTCTATATACCTAATAAAGATTGCTTATTTTATTATGTTTAGTTTTCCCCGAGTGGTCATGCAGCGATCACTCAAAAGTTCGGCTTCGAACGTGTGTAACTCGAGAAATTATCCCACGGGAACGAAATACCTGAATAAACGGTATCATAATATATGTTATTTGACAGCTCTGTGGCGCAGTGGCTTAGCAATGAATTGTTGTACTGGGAGCAGCGGGTTCGAATCAATCGAACAAGTATTTGT